TGTACCTCTTCGGGCTCTTGGATACCTTTTTCTCGTTATATGTGTGCGTGTTCTTTAGATCCTCAGATGGCTCTAGCGCTTTCGTGACCACGGGCTGAGAGTCTTTTGCTAGATTTTGGCATTTGGCAACTGACATACGGTTTAATGTGAAGACAACAACAACAACCCCACTACACTGCCGTCTGTACCTCAAAATTGTTGTCATATTTCTGCGGTCCAGAGGAGGACCCTTCTTCCCGATACACTCAAAAAAAGACGGTAGACGATTTCACATCAGTTGACTGGCTAACATCAAGGACTGCACTCCTGCTCTGCTGCTGCTCTGCTGACTGGCTCTAAAAAACATGCTGACTATTTAGCGCAGTGGATATGTTGTATATCTAACAGAATCTTTTCGATGGTTGTTATTGTTGTTGTTTTTGCCTTTACATTAAAAACCGTTCTGATCTCTCTCTATCTTCGTACGTCCGTACTGATCCAACACTCGACGCGGTCGATTCCCATGGTCATGGGTTAACTTACCCTAAAAAAGGTACACTCAAATAAACTGGCCCCGAGGGGTTCGCAAGTCAATAGAAATCAACGACAGATATTCTGGAGTCCTCCACTCCCTCTGCGCGCTATACGAGGTAACAACTGAGACTAGGAGTCACCATCGCAGGCCGGAGAGAAAGAGGTACACCCCCTCGGTTCAATCTTGGTGTTTAACAACGCAAGACAAGACCATCTGGCACAGAAGAAGAGCGAAAAGAAAACAGAGAAAAAGAGGGAAAAATAAAAGCAAACAGGAAAGAGAAAACAAAATATCTTTTCTATGATAGAGATGGACTCGTTGTGTCATATTAAGAAAAAAAAAAAATGAAAAACAGCGAGGACAAAAAGGGACCAGGCCGAAAATAACGAGAAACAAGACACAGGAAAAGGCACACGGTGTAGGCTAGACCAATAACGAACAAGCAAACACACAATCATGGATGGCCACCAACCAGCGATACATTGTAATGGTACGTCATCACCAGTGGGGGGTTGGTGCAACGGTGCATGCAGCGTTGGGCGGGGGGAATTGGCCAATAGAAATTCAATCCGGCACGTATCGCGCCACTACTCGGTCTGTCTATTCTCGTTTGCTTTCTTCCCTCGCCGTCTCGTCCGTCTCCTGCCAGCCTTCCGCCCCATTGGTTGTTGGCTTGTGCTTTCTTCGTTTGAGCGCCCGTTGTCGGCTGGCCTCTTCTTCCTTCTCGTTCCAGGAGGAGGTCATGAACCTCTCAGCTCCCTGCAGCACCGCCGCATGCCAGGGTACTACCCCCTCCACATTCGCGGCCTTGGTGCCGTGTCTTTCGGTACGGGGATTCTGAGACAACATGGATCGGTTTTCGTAGGTCCGTGGTCGGCCCTGAATGCCTTCAGGTCGTCGAGCACACACTTTATTTAGCTCTGTTCCTGTCCTCCCCCCTACGTCGCTTCTCCCCCCCCGCCAGTTCGCCGAGCATCAGTCATTTCGGGAGTCGCCCGTCCGGCTGCCTTGCCGATGCTCCCGCGAATAGCCGGCGTCATTGTCGAATCGTGGCTTCAACGCTCTGGCATTCGACCCTCTTCAGCGTCTGGGCGTAAGAGAGCTGCCGGTAGATGGTAGCTTTCCCAAAGAATATGACTCTTTGCAATACTGTAAAATTATGAAGAGTCATATACCTCGTAGCGTTCATTGTTGTTATAGCCTGTGACCACGGAAATTGGCCGAGTCAAGTGATGGATAAGTACGGAGAGATTGAGACAGAAGGAGGTACTGGATAGAGAGACCGGGATGGTTTTTAATGTGAAGACAACAACAACAAAAACAACCATCGGCTCTCTCCCTCAACTAACAACGGGGGCTCCGGTGACTTCCAACCAATTAAGGTAGCGTACCACAGGGTCGTCGCTTTTTTCCGCCGCGCAGTTAGTGCGCTGCATCGTTTCACACTTACAGCAGTACGTGCCCACCGCAGGGGTGTTGTATCGTATCCCCTTCCAGCCACAACTACGGCGTTAACCATATAGCTGGTGAGAAGAACATGAACCAGGAGGCCACGCCCCCCTCAGCAGTCGCAAATAACGTTGATTTGAGTTTTGAGCAGCAACAGCAGCAGCAGCAGCAGGAGCAGCGGAGGAGACGTAGGGCGGACCAGCTGCAGCATGACGAGGGGGACGAAGAGGTGGAAGCTGATGATCATGGGGGCGGGGAGGACGTCCAGCTACAGGGCGACTCTACCAGGGCTGACCTCAACAAGCTGACAGCGGTCAACACCCCGATACCCCGCGGGGCCATGCACCTGAACAAGGTCAGGAGCCCACACTACCATCGGACGCAGTACCTGAGCAACCTCGGCATCTGGGCGAAGAAGGAGGCCAAGCATCTCAACTCCTCTCGCGCGACGGAGGCGCGCTACAAGAGCGATCTCACGTGAGGAACTACTGGGATTGGTTGTCGTCTCCTCCACCCGATGCAAGCTTTGTGTGTTGGTGGTAGGGCTGCTATGTAGAAGCAATGGCGAAGCTACTTATCCTGCGGATGCATATCGAGGGTGGTTCCGACGACGTGTTCTGAAGCAATATTATACCAAATCAGCGGGGGTTGCTGCGGTTGCTCCAGGCAGCATCATCGTATGCGTGAAAGACGCTGGGCGGGGTCCGCACGTCAGTCTTGTGTGCACACCCATATTACATGAGAAGGAGAGGCAGAGAGCAACAAAGATGCCACACCACTACGTTGTACTTTTATTCTCGAGTATGCATAGTCTACTCGTAGAAAGACTCTTGTTTGGTGACCGTGATGTACATACATGGCACGGCTGACAAGTGACGTCGAGAGCTTCGCAAGAAAAGAGCCTCGTAGTGTATGGTAAGGTTTTCAGCAGGTTTATTTCGTCCCATCGCGACGTGGTACGCAACAACACTCTCTGGGCTTTGTGAGGGGAGCTTTTCGCAATCAGCCCGTACGTCCTTCGCTTCAGATGATAGTGGTCACGCCCGTCTCACCCCCTTGCCCGCAGACAGATGTCAACACATCACACAACGCCGCCGCCGTGCATGATTTGTCTGCACAGAAGCCACCGCCACTGCTGCATATTGGTACATGCCGAGCGGCGGTGGTACGCCACTTCGCCGGCTGGAAGACTTGGGACACACGGCCGGCCGCCGTATATGACGTGCGGCACATTTTTTTTTTCCCGGTGATAGAGGCAACAGCTCGTTTCTTCACGGATTCACAGTAGCAGTTGATCAATCGGCCGCTGCAAACCACAAAGTTAGTATTCAGAGCGCTTGTATGCATACAAGTACAAAATGAAAGTTCCAATTGCTCTTGGCGCCAACATCCTGCTGCTGCGTTTTCATGAACTTCCGGTGGCAACCAACGACAGGTCGGAAGCCGCCGTCGCCGCGAAGAAGAATCCTAGCAGCACGACGACTACGACACCAGGCGAACCGTCACCGGTCCCGCCGCCGCCGCCGCGCCCGCCTGGGACCCCGTCCGACGAAGCTCTATTAGCTGTAGCCACCTCGAAAACAGCAGGGGGTGCGCGACCACAACCTGCGGCGGGAGAGGCAGCAGCGGTTTCGGAAGTGGTGCCGTCGGAATCGCCACGACCGCAACCTGCCCCGCGTGGTGGTGACCATGACCAACCAAGGCGCCAAGGGGAGGGGGAGACGGGTTCGCCACCCTCAGAGGCAACTGGCGGCAAGGGCGGCGGCAGGGTTGTCTCGCCGCAACCGGCGAGCACGGGGCCGGGCGGGAGGGTCGGGGTGGTAGCCGCGGCAGTAGGAGCGTCTTCGTTGGCTGGAGAAGCCTTGGACGGTGGAAAAGGTGGGCAGGACACGGCGGTTGTGGCGGCAGCGGCTGTGGCGGTAGCAGTAATAGCTCCGGCACGGTCACGGTCAGAACCCTCGGCCGGAACCGCGGGCTCGCGGACGCCCGCGCTCGGCGCCACCAACAGCAGCGCCGACAATAGCGGCACCTCTGCCGCCGCCCCCGCAACATCACAACGGAGGAACGAGAAAATTCGGCCCTCCTCTGCCGCCGCTCCCGTTCCAGCAGCATCAACGCCTGCCGCGGCCATCATTCCCCCTCTCCCAGGGGCCCCGGCAGCAGCACAACCGACCTCCTCCTCGTCCTCCTCCCACCCGCTGAGGTCCGCACGCACCGTGGCGGACCCGCTCAAGGTCGGGTCGCCGCCCCTTCGAGCCGTGCGACCCCCGCGGAGAGACATCCGCAGGGACTACCTCACCAACCTCGGGATGAAGAGGGCGGTCGTGGCAGGGCCGGGCGACGCGCGAACGCCCCCGCCGATGATCCGGAGGTCGTCGTTCATCGAGGTGAGAGGCTGGCGGTGGGAAGGGGAGGGAGAGGGAAGGGGGTTGGGGGGAGTGCAGGAGTTCGTCTGTTGCTTGCCGTGCACTTTGGACTGACTACCCTTTTTGGTGACGGCGCTCCCATCGTCCAGGGAGAGGGAAGGGGTTTGGGTGTTGCTCTATGGTACCCATGGTACCCATGTAACTTGACCGCGTTTCTGGGTTACGAGGCGTCAGCATCATGTCTCCACATCTACCGTCAGTAATGATGGGGGTCCCAGCCCTCGAGTATTCCCCCAAGACCGTGTGCACCCCTGCGAGTTTATGAGCTGCGTCGAGTGCTTGCGCTCGGCTTACCTCGGTCATGAACGCAAGCGTCGCGACGCATTGGGGTGTAACTTGTGTTTTTTGTTTTTTGGAAACTCCCGTCTGCGTGTTGCGGTCCTGTCGGCGCCATTTTGTTTGGGCAGTTGGTTTGGGTCGACACACGCTGGATACCTTCGTGTTTTCTGTCAGCGTGTGCGGTGATACTGTTTCGACGAGCACGGAGCAATGCTCATGAACTCGGCAGTGTTTGCTGCTTTTCTGTTTTGGCCCACGTCGAAAAATGTTGCGGCGTTCTCTTTGTGTGAACAACAAAGCCTTCAACGATTTCGACCGTGTTCGCAACAATGCTGCTGCTGGTTTCGGTTCGGCAGAGCGTGGAGAACCCTGTGGAGGAGCAGCTCAAGGACCCCAACGCGGGCGAGATCACCTTGGAAGGCGTTCTGAGGGTGAGCGCGCCCGCGAGAGGCGGAGAAAGGATAAGGAACGCTGCGAGAGAGAGAGAGAAATGGAGAGAGGGAGGGGGGTTGCCACCACGCCGCCGCACGACGCGCGCGTACATCGTGCCCCGCGCTTTCCCTGCTTTGCTAGTGCGACTATGAACGTGTGTAGACAGGCTGGTACCCCAGCCTGCTGACGGGAAACCGCTATCCAAACCGCTATCCCAAGTGTTTGCGGTCGGTAAGAGCTGAGGCTACGTGACCGTGGGCCAACCCCAGGCCCACGTTGTCACTCCTCTCTCTCTGCTCGTCAACGACCGCACACGTTCATCCAGGCTCCCGAACCAGCACCGTCTAGATTAAAGCGATCCACCTTTCGCTCGAAAGTCGTTCCTTCTCGTAATTGTGGCGTCACTAAGCCGCTCGTCCTACCCGCGTCTTTCCAAAAAATAAATTGTGTGTCCACGCCGCTGGCCAATCAGGTCGTCGGGAGCATCCTGACCGGCGGGAACAGCACCAAGAAGGAACGCGAGCCCCGCCCGTGTCGGACGTGCGAGCGGTTGAGAGCTGGCAACAGCGGCGGCAGCAGCGCCAACTCCTCGCCGATGGTGGGTTGGCACGGCGGCGCCCAGGATTGCCGAGGAGGCGAGGGGCAACGCGGGGTGCAGGGGTCGGGGGGAGGGGAGGGCGAGGGTTCGGTGGCGGAGTTTGCGCCTTGTCGCCACAAGCACGTCGACTTTGCCCCGGTGGTGTCGGCGGTGTACGTCCCCGTGCACTCGGAGTACAGGTGACGGTTTATGTGGTGTGTGATTCATGATGCGATTGATCTCTACTTTCGAAGTTGCTATTTTACTCCATGACAAACGTCGCTGTTAATAGGAGAGGTAGCAACAACCTGCTGTGTTTTGAGGGGTTACAAGCGTGTTTGTGTTCCTTTCGTCGTCAGTACGGTCGGGCTTGTGGGTAAAGGTTAGGTGTGTTTGGGAAGGCTAGGGTCGTTCGAGAGCAGTTTGTGTACGTGCGTTTGACTGTGTTGCTTGACCGGCTGCCGCGTGGGAAGGGGTGGCCGTCCTGGTGCTTGATAGCCAGGTTACCCCCAGGGTTGTCGTTTGGTGTCTCGTGTTAGAGTGGGTGCATCTGTGGGTGTGCGGCGTGTTTTCCTAGTCGCTTTTTTTCTACCATCTGCTTGCCGCCCACCGCAACGCCCGGGTGTGTGCTGCTTTGTTCCTCCTTCGTTTCGGGCGGGTTGCTTTCGTCGTTGGGCGTACCACAGATGTGCAATTGTTTCTCCCCAACCGATTCTCTTTCGTCTTGCCCTTCTGTTGCTTGTGTTCTTGTGATGGGCGTGAAGCGATCGCGTGCGACGGAGCTACTGGAACAGCGCGGGGGAGATACGGGAGATGGTCTACCGCAACATGATCGAGTTCGATGCGGAGGAGTACAACTGGGAGAATGTTGCCGAGGTACGAGAATAATACTGTTGCAGACGGTCCGCCCTTCCCTCGGCTGTTTGGTGTACGTACTGCTGAGAACAAGCGCAAGGTTTGCGAGAATAGGCGTAGAAGCGCCCCGCCCCTGTGCGCTGCCTGTGAGCCCTTTCCCTTCTCTGCTGCATGCAAAATCTACGACAGGTTTGGTCCGTTCCATGTGCCCTTGCTGCTGCTTTTTTCGTTTCGCTGCTGTTGTTGAAGGTGTAGCAGCGATCCCTGTTGTTGCTTCTGAGGCTATGAAGGCTGTGGCCCGCTGGTGGGGGTTCGCCGTTGTTAACCTTTGTTTTTTGTCGCCTTTCCTTCTCCCTCTGGTGCAGCGCTCACTCCTACTTGCTGTGTTGGAACTCGTTGTGCCCTCTCGGGTACATGTCGATTCTCGCGCTACCCACCCGGTTCGTTCCAGTCCACTTCGAATCCCCGTCGCCACACATGTTCTGCATGCTTACATAGTCAAACAACCATCACTCGACACCACCTCAGGAGGAAGACATGTACTTCTGCGAAGAGACGGGAGAGTTCATCCACCCCATATTCTTCGACTCCCAGGAAGAGGCAAGAGAGGTTAGGGCGACTTCGTCCTCCGCCACTTCGTCCTCAGACCGCGACGGAGAGGTACAGTGTGCGCTGCCGAATAGTACACGGCTGCGGGCCCACCCCAACCAAAATCTTGGCCTTGCTGTGCACACTCTGATTTGGGACGAAAGCCGCTTTGCGTATGTATCTGCTTGGAGGATACTCCGGTGGCGACGCGAGGTTGCCGTCCCCTCTTGCACTCGTTTCGCCTCCGTTTCTCGCTCCCTGTCTCTGCCCGCGCTATTGTCATCAATCAATCGATCGATCGGCGGCCCACCGCGAGTGCGTCCTCTCTTTTCTTTTCTTGACCACAATTTATCGGGAGTTTTTCTCACGCGCGGCGGGAAGAACCCTCACATTCTCTGCCTCATCACGCCCACCCTCTGTTTCACCTACCTACCTACCTACCTACCTACCTACCTACCTAGCCTATTTGTTTGTTCATTGCTGTGTCCCCCCCGGCCCCTCTTGCGCCTTCCCGTTCTCGGTGCAACCAGGAACACATGGAGTACATCAACGAGGGGCGCGGGTTGCCTGTCATGCAACAACGGTGATGCGTCCACCCGCTTATCCCGCGGGACGAGAGGTGGACCGCGAGGCCAGCAAGGGACCGCGAGATAGTGGCGAGGCGGTATCTAGTAGCAGCAGCAGCAGCAGCAGCAGCAGCTGCGGTGTACAGGAAGCGAGCCCTCCATGCCGGAGGACACGACAGCTTTTGTCTGCTCGGTTTTCGACGCTGGGAATGATTTTTTTGCACGATCCCCAAGCAGATGTCATTGCAAAGGCATGTCCTTGCACGATGTCTCCAACCGCAATGGCAATGTGTTGTACACGACGCCGAACAGCGTGTCGCCGGAAATTGACGGAGGCGTTCTCGCAGCCCATCTCCGTGCCACGGAGAGCGCTGTTGGATCCGTCGCAGCCCCCCCTTTGCGTCTGGAAATGGAGCGCACTGTAGCGGTGCTCGTCCGTGCGTCCACGTGTCTGGACAACGTGAAGACGGCGAAGAAACAGATATTGGCACACGCTTGATTCATTTTTTTACGACGGTCGAGAGGTCATTCGTTGTCTGGGGTAAGGGAATGCGTTGCAACTGGCGTCGAGAAAAGAAGGTCTTGGTTTGCCTCTCATTCTCTTGGTGGCGAGACGTCTCGGTTTGTTGTGTCTTGTGTTGGTTTTGTATATAGACGACACGCGATGGTGGACGTTCGGAAATCGATACGAGCCAGCGTACCCAGCCAGCAGTATATTTGCAGACCGCCACCCAAGTGTTTGTGGGGTCATGATGCTGGAAAATTGCAGGTGGCAGTAGTTCGCCTCGCTTCACAATCTGCGGGAGAGGGGGGGGGGNGGGGGGGGGGGGGGGGGGGGGGGGGGGGGGTGGGGGGGGGGGGGGGGGGGGGGGGGGGGGGGGGGGGGGGCATTGGTTTTGCGGTGAAATATGGGGGAGTTGGCCACGGGTGTACAGTTTCGCCAAGAGCGGTGTGGTTTCAAAAGCTGGTGTGTGCATGTGGTACTGTACGCTGCTGTCGGTCGTTTGGCTGGCGCGTGTTGGTGTGAGTATGGCGCGCAATTCTCGGCGGGCGCATGTTTGGACGAGGAGGGCACGGGGATGAAAATGCGTCGATGCCGTGGGCGCGGTACGAAGGGGACAGAAAAAGTTGGTAGCGCTATATGATTCCCCGAGTACTTTAATGTTGTTGATGGTGAAGAAGCAATTGCCGTTTCCCATATTTTTAAGTGTTGGGGTACATTCTTCCGGCATGCGATCGACCCCCGTAGGATAATTCGAGTGAGAGAACAAATGGTACTGTCTGTACGTTAGGCGCGCCATCTCGCGTTTATATTCGTTGGTCCGGGTCAGGTTAAAACGGTCGACGTACGTATTAGAACAATATTTACAAGCGTTTGGACAAGGGTGCAGAAAACGCACACACGAGGAGGGAGGTATAAATCGACCCGGACCAACGCAGTACTCCCCCAATGCGCTGATAGTTGTTCATTTTGTGTTGCTGTTCTACAAAGTGGTCCTTCGTGGTCATCGTCGAGTACGTACTTCTGCACGGCCTCCTCCGAAGTCAAGATAATGCCTTTGAGTTTTTTTTAGTGGTGGAGAGCACAGGCAAAGGAGGACTGATAGTGATCGGTGTAGGAGTGAACGGTACAATAGTACCTAGAGTCCCGATCGATCCAATTTTTCTTTTGCGAAACGTATTTTTGCGAGTGTTCTTTTTTGGTGCCTTGTCCACCTGGCAGAGAACACAGAAGATCACAGACGTCTGCACTTCGTATGGGTAGGCCACACTACGACGCCTTTTGGAAGTGTGTGTTTCTGGGCGTCGGGAGAGGTCGCGTTCGATTGCTCCAGAACTAAACAAAGGAAGGCGTGTAGTATCTCGACGTCAATCCGGGGACAGGATCCACGAGATTGACGCAGAAGGCGCTTCGAACGGGGTGTGTACAGCTTCGTTTTCGCCTGGATTGTCGCAAGAAGACTGAGCAGATGTAAGCACCGGAAGCATGCGCCGGTTTCGGCGATGTTCTACCACGACACGGTCGACGAAGGCCTTGCTTGGCATGGATTGCGGTTTTGCTCGATGGCCGGTTGTTGATGGTGGTGGTCGACCGCGACACAGAACACAAAACACGTCAACGACGTCATTTTTTTTTGTTATGTGTGGTTTGTTTTTTCGGGTTGTGGCTGTCCTCCTCTCACCGGTTTGACTGGCTTGTTTATGGGGGAGTCGCCGGTAGTGGAGCGGGGAGGTTTGAACGGCACTCTTTTGCTTGGTCTCGGTGAACGGGGCGTGTGAGGGGGGGGGGTCAAAGATGGCAACAGAGACAAGGGTGGATGACGCCCGAAGAGCGAGAGTCTCGATAGATGCAAGGGATTTGAAACTTGTGCGTGTGAACCCCCCCTTCACTTCACTCCTTGTATTTTCATTTTTCTGAATATGTTTGTATGCACCCGCTCATGTAAAAGGTGTGCTGGGCTCTGATCCGTTTCTGTGTTTGAGCTGGGTGTTTTCCCTTCAAACTAGTTGCTGTTTCGTTAATTGGGCAGAGCAGGAAAGGAGAGCTCCCCGACGTTCGGTTTGCCAGCGGTTTGGACCAGTAGGAGCGTACCCGGGCGTACTTTTAAGCGACCACGGTGTGGGAGAAGAGGTGACGCGTATTCAACTCACCCCAAGCTTTTGTGTGCCTGCCGCCTCTCGCATTGTTTACAGGGAAAAGAAAGAGGTGAGTGTAAGGTTGAATGTAATGGATACGCCGTTTTGACTGGAATGGCCGTTCGGGCGCGCGCCGGTGTGTACAACAGGTGCGTGGATGAAGGAGTTATCCGACGTGAAAAATACCTTCACGTCTTGTTGCGTACGGGTGACGCACGGGTCCGAAATCTACTCCCTCATTACTGGACATGGGGGCTGACCCACTAAACATATTCTCGGTCAACGCTGACGGAGTGCTGCTGTCAACGTTTTGGGTTGGGTGTAGAAGTCGAAGTTGGTATCGACCAACGACATATTTGAGCTGTTTGTTTCACCAGTCCAACACAAGCGGCTTCGCTTGAAAGGAAACCTCGAACAAAACTGGGAGCGTTGTCACACCGGCTTCCTCCCCTCCGTTCCTTATTCTCGTCCTCCGGGGGGGGCACCAAGATACCCACACTGCTGTACAGCACTTTTTTTCAGGAAAATTATATGTGCTTCGGATTGCAAGATCAAAGCTACAAGGGCAACACCTGTTACACGTGCTGATCAACAAGAAGGGTACAAAGTCTACACTAACAGGCTTCTTTCGGCGTTGCCGTGTGCAAACAAGGCCCGGCGGGTCCGCGACAAATCTCCTCCGATGGCTCGAATTTGTTGTCGAGCAACGACACCCAGACGTCATGCAGCGATTCTATCAAAGAGCAGTTCACGGTCGCTTGCAGTCCTTTCTCTTCGTCAGCCGTTGTTTTCAGCACCAGGACGTGTTCTTCGATGTCCTCGACATCACCGCCCCTACCGCCCGTTCCCTCACCATCATCGTAAACCTGCGACAATGACGATGCGGCCTCCCTTTTCCCCCCTTGGTCGGTGAAACGATCGAAAGTTGGGCCTCGTCTCTCGCCAGGTTCTCGTGGCGAACCGTCCTCCTTCCCGTCGGCGGTGGCGGTGGCATCCGACAGGAAGCACGAGAATGAAAGGGCGAGTCGGTTGAAGTCTGCCTGAGACATTTGGTAGCCCTCGATGACTGCGATTTGATCCAGAGCCCCGCGGTCGGGCCCGCGGAGGGGGTTGACCTGGTGGAAAGGGTAGTGGTGGGCCACGTAGTACTCCAGTCGTTCTTGCGTAGGGGAGACGTGTATCCTCATCGCTCCGAGCAGATCGCTGAGGTTCTCGTTGACCCCTTCGACCCGCCGGGTGGCCTCTTCGAAGGACAGGGTTTCTGCAGCAGCAGTTCCACCGGCAGCACCCGCCCATGGTGCTTCACCTCCATCCTTGCTACGGTGAACTTTGGGAACGGGCTGGCGTTGCTCATCCTCCCCTCCACCCCTTCCGGCATCACGGAGCTCCCTCCCGCCTCCGGGCTCGCCGCCGACCAATCTGGCCTTTTTTCCCTCTCCACCGTCCGCGGTTGCCTCCGACCCGCCTTCCGTACGATAGTCGTGGGGCGGGAACATTTCCACGCAGGCCTGTCGGTGCCACCGGTTCATCATTTCCAAGCAGGATGATGGCTGCCCGTCGCCTGTCGCCGCTGTCAAGGGGCCCATTAAGCCGGACGTCCGCAGCATCTCGCACGCAAGTTTGTGCGGGTGCAACACCTCACAGACGCCGCCCTCGTTGCTCCGCACGATCGCCACGGGGAACTCGTAGTACCCGAACGGGACGGCGCCGTGGCCGTGGCCTCGCCGCAGCGCCACGCGCAGGAGACCCTCCACCTGCGCCGGCACCTTGGACTCACGGTGGGCCTCGAGGGCTTGGCAATCGTAGCACAGGCTGACCGCCCCGAATATGCTCTGGGCGAACCTCCGAGGCGAGAGCAGGAACTGATCGGCGAGGGGAAAAAAGTTGTGGCCTACGTACACGCGGGTCGGCGGGAATCGACTCAACGGCGGCATCGGGAGCATCCACGAGATGTCCAGCCTGGAGCGAATCACCCACGTGTACCTTGTTCGAGAGCATTGGGCCGAAACGACGGGTTTGATGCTGTAGAATTGTCGGCTGGGCCGATCGATGGTGTGTTGATGAGGGCCGGTACTACATGTATTCCAAAGCCAGAAAAATGATGCGACGCCTTGGAAAACAATGAGTGCTGACAATGGCTGTTGCTGGTGGTGGTAAACAGAGAGTTTGTTGCGGGTTTCAACCGCAGCTGCATGCCCACTGCGTGCGGTCTGCGCAGCAAAAGCCACGGAAGAGCGTCATGCCACGCGCTTTTTCACGCAACTCCGGTCAGCTGCAGCTATCTAAATGCAGGAGCGCTGTACAGCAGAGGCCACATGTTCCATGTGGCAGACATATGACCATCGTGTGCACGGTGGTATCCAAAACAAGGAACACTGGAAAAAAGCGAAGTGCGCAACATGAGTGGCCGGATGTAGTACGACACAGAACGACTGAAGGTGGTTCTGCACGTCGTCTGTTTTATGTATGACATGCCATGTGTCACTCACGACAGTCCAGTAGTGGCCTCGTGCTCCTCCATCATGCGGTACACAGCCTTCATTTTGTATAGTTGCCAGTAGGCGTTTATCTCGCAGCCGGTCTCGCACCCGTTGGGGATATAGCCCGCTTGCTCCTATGTAGTCCGAAGCATGTGATGCATCGTCGGGAAATTGATGCGGCAAAAGACCAAAAAACAACGAGCATCATCAGCGCGTGTGTTAATGTTAAACATGCTGGCATCAATCCATGTGTACCCGCTAGGCTAGAGGAGCTCATACGTACAATTGCTCCTACTACGTGAACAAATACGATGATTACTACAAGTCGCATTCTCATCGGGCGATTGCACTTCCCACCCTCGTAGATGATGGAATGTGGCTCGTTATAGCATCGTCTCACACCCATCCTTTCTCTCACAAAATCGTATTTCCTGGCTGGATGGTGATAGTTGACGAGAAAAAAAAGTAAGTTACAACTGCTGTAGAGCCCAATCTTGGTTCCGAATCACACCTGGCTGACTTTCTTCGTACAGAACAGTATCGCACCTGGTGGTATTCGATGGAGAGTGGGTTGAGTATCCCCACCGCATGCTCGACTTCAGTTTCTTGGGGAGTATGAGGGGTGAAGGCCAGAGCATCTTCGAAGTCGCCTTTGCGATATCGACGCGGAACCTCGTCTTCGACTGTAGCTCACGGAGTATGTTCACCCGGTCGGGTAACGGCAAGGGATAACAGGTCAGAGATCTGTGCCTCTCACGAGAATGTTTCGAGGACGGAAAACACCAGAAGGCTCCTTCGCTAAGGATACAAAAACGGGTACTAACCACTACCACCCGGCCCGAGGGCTAAATTTGTCGCTCACGACAGGGTCTAGAAAAGAAGACAGTTGCAAAACAACATCCATTCTACATTGTTTGTGCATATGTGTCTGCCACGGCACCACGAATTTCTCATCATGTTGTCTAACATGGCTTCACGTGGCTTTGATTGTGTAGTCTAGTTTACCTGATATGTGCATGAAGACATCCACATGGCAGTCGATCTCCAGTTGCTCGATCAGATTCTTCTTGTGAGAAAGGTGGACCCGCGGCTGTACGAAGCTTCGCACGTGCCCCGAGTACAACACTGCACATCTGCACGACTCCGTTCCCCACGCTGCGTCGGCACCAAATGCTGGTTGATGAGCGACCTCAGCAGAGAGGAGACTTACGACACCGACCGCTCGCCGTATCCGAGTGAGCGGCATGACTGCTAATTGTTACTCCTACAGCCTGTGCTTGGGCAACACACCACTCTACAGAGAGAGTGGGGTGAATTACAGCACAGGTGCAAGGCGAGAGAGATCTGATTGCTCCCAAGGAAAGTGGGGAGCCCATGACACAGCGACAGAATGACAAAGAACGGATGAAGATCGTATCTTGAAACCTGGAGTGGAACCAAACGGGTTCCAATTTTCACCGAAACGACGTAAGTTGCACCGCTCTTTCGCGTGAGGCGCCGGACGCACGACGCGCGACACTACACTAATCTATGGATATCCACAGAGCCATAGACTACTATAACACTCTACATCATCCTCCACTTCATCAACTCTACGCACGCCAGAAATTGTACAGCAGCGGCCACTGCCACGTATCTCAGCGTCGCACGGATCGGGACGAATGTTTGGTTGCATTTCAGCACGGGGATCGGATAGCTGGCAGTGTTGTAGTTGGCAGGCGCATGCGAGGGTGTGATCAAAATTCAAATTCGAGATCGTCATAAAACTATCAGACGCTGGTACCAACTCTCAAGTAAGTGCGGTTTTGACTGCTGGAGCGGCCAAGAAAATACTTAAAGCTGTACCCTCTGAACCAAGAAGAGCGGACAAAAAATACAGCGCCGTCCACGAGTGTGCGTCTCTGGGATGAAAGAAAAATCGCCCCACGGCACGCATCATCATGTTCACCTGCCGACCCGTTCTTCTGGGACATCAATCAAGGGTTCCGGAGGTGCGTACGAACACACCTCGTCGCTGAACTATTGCACCATAAAAGCTCTTGACGAGCATCGTGCATGGGCAACCACCCGAACTCGTGCTTCCGTTTTCGACTTTGGACATGTCAACACTGAGTTCAGACTGCGAGGTGGGTGTCAACCAACCTCAATCACGGACCAGTCAATCGTGATTACACTCGTAAGAAACTGACAATGCAGCGCCCTTGCACCAAAACGCCCAGCATAAAAGTCGTCGCCCTGCACGTGCCATCCACCGCAGCACCGTTTCGATCACTACCACCAGCAGCACCATCAATCGCCACCTTCCCGTGGTCGGTAGACGTTCTCCCACAGCGTGTCGAACGGCTTCCTCTTCTCTAGGAACACCTGCACGCACGTCTCTCCTCGGTACACGGGCCCCTGTCGAACCTCGTCGTCCTGCGTGCCGAGCGCCGTCGAGCCGGGAGGGTCCAGGGAGAGATCGGACATGAGCCAGTAGCAGCCATCGAGGGCCACCTTCCCCTGAAAGTGCCCCTGGGTCACGACTCCGGTCCCCTTCACCACGACGACCATGCGGTCGGGGTGGATCTCCACCGTTACGTCCTTTGCTCGGGTGCCCTGTTGCCCCCCCCCAGGATGTCAACACGGGGGTACAAGGGAGAGAAGGAAGCACGAGGGAGGGTTGTGGGCATGGAAGAAGGGGGGGGCAGAGAGGGAAAGAATCAGGGTACTTACTATTCGGTCTAGAATACAAGAAAACAAATTTGTGACACAACGCGAGTGCCGTAGGCAACGAACCGTGTCACGATGCGCCCCACAAACTATTCATGCACCGGGAACACAGAAACGTGGCTATTCGCGTCTTACAATTAGTTTTCACGCAACAACAACAGTCCACTTTCCCGGCTCCAAGACTCACAGAGGGGACAGGGATGTAGAGGTCGAGGTAGTTGGCCCTCTCCACGTATCCAAAGTCGGGCGTGTACCCCTGCACCTTTTGCTTCGCCATGATTTCGCGCGCCTCCTTGCTCTCGAGGTCGTAGATCTTCTTGCCGCGGTGGTCAGTGTTCTCAGGGGTAGTGCTCGCTTTCGCGGACATCTCCGCCTGCAATTTTTTATTCAACCCTAGGCGGTCGTCCGGGCGCGGGGATGAATGAAAGCAGGGCACACGGGAGCAGGACAGCGACGGGTCAGCACCGTCCACCGGCGAGAGGTGAGGTGATATCCCCAAAGTCCGAAACTTCCACCCGTAAACGACGAACACGTTTAAAAAAAAGCGCAACTAATCTCAAACCATTTTTGACCCTGCTACAAAATGTCGCCCCCCACCCGCCCCCCCCGGTGTTTGCCATCGGGGTTGGGTTTTCGTCGCTTGGCAACGACGGTGTAAAGCAAGCCGCCCCCCCCGGTGTTTGCCATCGGGATTGGGTTTCCGTCGCTTGGCAACGACGTTGTAAAACAAACCAATTCACTTCGAGAACTCGGAAACCAAGTTACCATTTTTTTTTTTTTACCTCCGTTTTATTTTTGGCGGTAACCATAATGGTCGAGTAGATCATGTTGTGCGGGG